CAGAAATCTCTAGTGATCTGCGCAAACAGTGTAGATTAATAGAGCATAAAGTTAGATTCATGCACACTTACAAAGCTTGCAGTTCAGTAATGACTTAGATTTTTCGTTCTGCTTTCTACAATTTAATTAAGGCAAAACACGCACCGATGGCATATATGATACCAACTTGGAGAGAGACCTAAACAACTTAAAAATAGATAGGGTTTTTGGCTCAGCTATTGGATATTATAGTAGAGGATTGTGTTAAAGAAGCATGGGCATGCCATCCATTGGAAATGGCTTGCACATAACATTTTCCATGTAGTAGTTAGTTGCATCCATCACCGCAAACTGCATATCTTCAGAAGGCTTCCAATGACGTTTTCTCTGATTGATGAACCAGTTGTTGATCTGTTTCAAATCTAGGCCTGTTGATTCTGCCAGTGCCTGCTTTTGGGATTCCTACATATAAATCCCATCATATTCACCATTACCATAACATTAGTCATGAATATGTAATGGTAAATAAACCTTACCCACATAATAATTTAAGGTTTCAACATTCGAATTTTTGTTGTTTTCTACTTAACACCACCATCAAATGTGTCTGCATTTTGGTGGCAATCAGATATGAAAATTTATAAACTTACGTTCTAAAACACTGTAAATGCATAGTACAGAAGGGAGTGTTATTGTCTTTAACACACTTGCACTTTGTACTGTAGATTAGAAATTGTTGAAACAGACAAAACCTTAAATGATTAATAATTTGTGATTTTCAATCAATAATTAAGAGTTTCCTATGTAGAGCTTAGTTACCGAAGGGTAGGGCCACTTGTAATGCCGGTTCCACCAATCAAGCAGTTGCTGTCGTGCTTCCTTTGGCAACTTTCCATTCTTTTTCTTCTTCAAAAATTCCTTCTTCAGGCTCCCTAGATATCCACTATACTTGCGCAGAAGCTGGACTTTCAGTTCCCGATCTTCAGCTTGAGTGTCTAGGTTGTTTTCATGCACATCAACCTCATTCTGTGATGATGATTCACTTTGACCTTAATTTCAAATAGCCACAACAAAAATGGAAGAAAAATTAAGAACTATTAGGAAAAATAGTTCGTGCAAGAAAATTATCCATCACGAATTACAGAAATGTAGCACAGAAATATTAATTTAACAATAATATATCAAAACATTCTAAATCTTCTTCCCAATCCCCTTACTTGATAAAAAAAATAGTGAACGATTTCATTTTATATATCTTAGACATTAAATATATTAGTTATTCATTTAATAAGTATTTGTTTATGAAAGTATTAGGAGCAATAGTAGAATAATATCATAGGAGGACAAAATAAACCTATATCTTTTCTTTTTCTGAATTATACAGTACTACAAGCATTACCTAAGAAGTGATAAAAACATGCTCAGAACTAAGTTTGATTAACATTATTTTCTCTAATGCACACTAATTATATTACTAAATAGGAAAAGCTTTCATAGAAAACAACTGAACTTTTGATCAGTGCTTAATGGTCTCACCATGCATACAGGTTAACTGCATATTATAGAAGGCCTCAGTACATACAACCTTTACTCAAACAAGTTATAATATATAAGAAATATGGTTCACCAATAACTAAATATGTAACCCTTTCATTCATGACTATATATCATACAAAGGAGGGAAATAACAAAAATAATCATGAAAGCTTAATATTTACAGTGATTTTTTAGAATTAATCTACAGAAGGAACAACTTAATTGACAAAGAAACATATGGCCACAGCAGATAAGACAAGGAGTTTCCTTTTTCTACTAAGTTTTTAAAGGGACCTTGAAAGAGAGAGCCATGCATCTAAATGAGGAGAGGAATTAATCAGAAGAAAGAAGAGGTGACAACTCACTGAGTATGTGTGAAATAATAAGGAACACTAAGGCCACAAGAACCAAAAAGAAAAATCCCTTTAAAAAAAACCCTGAAACCCTTCAAGATTATCAATCAATGGGTCACTTAATTAAGCAGCTTGGGGTTTCGAATAAACTTTTCATCATTAGAATAATAAAACCAAGTCTCATTTTTCTTGATTTCCCCTCAAGCAGTAATTTTGACTCATAATCGTTTTCAAACTTTTTGACCTAATTCAAACACCTTGGACCCATTCTTCATAACAATCTTGAAAACAATGTAAAAGGTTTTAACTCAAGTTCTTTTTTAACTAATCACTATTTGTGATGAGAAAGGTCATTTGACTAACTACTCTTTTCATCTAATTCGCAAAATAATATATGATAAAAGAATAATTTTTGGTATCACATCAGTCTTACTGAAAAAATATTTATCTAGTAGACGCATGTGTGGTTTTCCTTTCTTTTTTTTGGTATTATATCATCTGTGTGGTTATAATTACCCAACCAACTNTTAAATAAAAAAATATCAATGACATTTTTAAAATTAATAAAAACTTCTAGACACTAAATCATATATATGCTTTGATTTTTATTAGAACCAAATGTATAAATATTTTTAATAATTTCAAAAATATCACTGCATTTTAATATATTTTGATTTTATTAAAATCCAAACATGAATTTTTTTTGTACAAAAAGATTTTAATTATGCTTTATATATATATGGATTTTAAAATATACCAAACTTTCTGTTCATATCATTTTGCAGAGTTCTCTAGTTTTATTTATGGCAGTAATATTATAGGTATAAACTCATAACAAAATTTGAATCCCGATAATCTATTCTGCTAGTTCTTCCAAAATGTGAATCAATCATAAACACAACATGTGAAACTCCTACATAAAAACAATGGTAAGAACACAAACATGTGAAAGGGTCACATATTGCTTGACTGTTGACAGATCATATTAATCGTAAATATATCCATTCTATTTCTCTTTAGGTGTAGACATATGTTGAGTGTCCAAATATCTTTCTCCTTATTGCAAGCAACAACCAAACTCAATCATCAAATCAAGGATGACAAACCTCAGTTGCAAGAGGCAACACCAAGAGATCAGGACCCACATACCAGCTTGTTACAGCCACAACATATCCAACACAAACATATATACACACACAAGACAATATGCTGGTAAAAAATAACATACAAGACATGTGCTTCATGATAAAGAGCCTTTTGATTTCTTTCATGTGCATGCACACGTATGAAAGCAAAATATACTTTTCATTAAATTAGGAAATAACACATACAGAAATCTCTAGTGATCTGCGCAAACAGTGTAGATTAATAGAGCATAAAGTTAGATTCATGCACACTTACAAAGCTTGCAGTTCAGTAATGACTTAGATTTTTCGTTCTGCTTTCTACAATTTAATTAAGGCAAAACACGCACCGATGGCATATATGATACCAACTTGGAGAGAGACCTAAACAACTTAAAAATAGATAGGGTTTTTGGCTCAGCTATTGGATATTATAGTAGAGGATTGTGTTAAAGAAGCATGGGCATGCCATCCATTGGAAATGGCTTGCACATAACATTTTCCATGTAGTAGTTAGTTGCATCCATCACCGCAAACTGCATATCTTCAGAAGGCTTCCAATGACGTTTTCTCTGATTGATGAACCAGTTGTTGATCTGTTTCAAATCTAGGCCTGTTGATTCTGCCAGTGCCTGCTTTTGGGATTCCTACATATAAACCCCATCATATTCACCATTACCATAACATTAGTCATGAATATGTAATGGTAAATAAACCTTACCCACATAATAATTTAAGGTTTCAACATTCGAATTTGTGTTGTTTTCTACTTAACACCACCATCAAATGTGTCTGCATTTTGGTGGCAATCAGATATGAAAATTTATAAACCTACGTTCTAAAACACTGTAAATGCATAGTACAGAAGGGAGTGTTATTGTCTTTAACACACTTGCACTTTGTACTGTAGATTAGAAATTGTTGAAACAGACAAAACCTTAAATGATTAATAATTTGTGATTTTCAATCAATAATTAAGAGTTTCCTATGTAGAGCTTAGTTACCGAAGGGTAGGGCCACTTGTAATGCCGGTTCCACCAATCAAGCAGTTGCTGTCGTGCTTCCTTTGGCAACTTTCCATTCTTTTTCTTCTTCAAAAATTCCTTCTTCAGGCTCCCTAGATATCCACTATACTTGCGCAGAAGCTGGACTTTCAGTTCCCGATCTTCAGCTTGAGTGTCTAGGTTGTTTTCATGCACATCAACCTCATTCTGTGATGATGATTCACTTTGACCTTAATTTCAAATAGCCACAACAAAAATGGAAGAAAAATTAAGAACTATTAGGAAAAATAGTTCGTGCAAGAAAATTATCCATCACGAATTACAGAAATGTAGCACAGAAATATTAATTTAACAATAATATATCAAAACATTCTAAATCTTCTTCCCAATCCCCTTACTTGATAAAAAAAATAGTGAACGATTTCATTTTATATATCTTAGACATTAAATATATTAGTTATTCATTTAATAAGTATTTGTTTATGAAAGTATTAGGAGCAATAGTAGAATAATATCATAGGAGGACAAAATAAACCTATATCTTTTCTTTTTCTGAATTATACAGTACTACAAGCATTACCTAAGAAGTGATAAAAACATGCTCAGAACTAAGTTTGATTAACATTATTTTCTCTAATGCACACTAATTATATTACTAAATAGGAAAAGCTTTCATAGAAAACAACTGAACTTTTGATCAGTGCTTAATGGTCTCACCATGCATACAGGTTAACTGCATATTATAGAAGGCCTCAGTACATACAACCTTTACTCAAACAAGTTATAATATATAAGAAATATGGTTCACCAATAACTAAATATGTAACCCTTTCATTCATGACTATATATCATACAAAGGAGGGAAATAACAAAAATAATCATGAAAGCTTAATATTTACAGTGATTTTTTAGAATTAATCTACAGAAGGAACAACTTAATTGACAAAGAAACATATGGCCACAGCAGATAAGACAAGGAGTTTCCTTTTTCTACTAAGTTTTTAAAGGGACTTTGAAAGAGATAGCCATGCATCTAAATGAGGAGAGGAATTAATCAGAAGAAAGAAGAGGTGACAACTCACTGAGTATGTGTGAAATAATAAGGAACACTAAGGCCACAAGAACCAAAAAGAAAAATCCCTTTTAAAAAAACCCTGAAACCCTTCAAGATTATCAATCAATGGGTCACTTAATTAAGCAGCTTGGGGTTTCGAATAAACTTTTCATCATTAGAATAATAAAACCAAGTCTCATTTTTCTTGATTTCCCCTCAAGCAGTAATTTTGACTCATAATCGTTTTCAAACTTTTTGACCTAATTCAAACACCTTGGACCCATTCTTCATAACAATCTTGAAAACAATGTAAAAGGTTTTAACTCAAGTTCTTTTTTAACTAATCACTATTTGTGATGAGAAAGGTCATTTGACTAACTACTCTTTTCATCTAATTCGCAAAATAATATATGATAAAAGAATAATTTTTGGTATCACATCAGTCTTACTGAAAAAATATTTATCTAGTAGACGCATGTGTGGTTTTCCTTTCTTTTTTTTGGTATTATATCATCTGTGTGGTTATAATTACCCAACCAACTAATATTGATATTTAATACCAACATTAAGCTTTGAAAACATGGCTGGGGAAGATCAGAATTATGACCAGTAACTAGTTCTGGGTTTAAAAATTCTGAGACACACAAAACTACCACTAGTCTAAGAGGATAGCAAGCTAAACCATGATTTATCACTACTAATGTAGACTCTGACTAAAACCTGTCCTCAGATTTGATTTCTAGTCATTTCATAGAAAAACAAAGATCCGTGGCTTCTTTAAATAAATCATTTTTCTCTCTTTTTTCTACATAGACCACACGAGCATGGTTTTCTGGGTACAAGGATGAGGTGTTGTGGTCCCGTAGAAGTTAACCATATACTTCTGGAAAGACTATGACAATTTGATAATTTGATAGGAAGGTGAAGCATAAAACTAAACCAATAAGGTTGGCTTCCAACATCAAGACCCTCACACCATTATAAGTACACGAGTACTAAGAAAAGACGGAAAAGAAATTAATGATCTTCTCTCACTCTGACACGCTATCTGGGTAGCTCACCAGCACCCACTTCCCCAACCAAGAAAACGTCCATAATTGCTCTACAGTACTGACAGATTTGTAGGAACAGATAATGAATTCAGGTAATCACCAAAATCTGATGAAACTGCTAGGGCTTTGAGCTGACACTCAATTCTTGAGAAAAAAAGCATGGCTTCTTTAAAGGGTTTCGTAAGCTCTTGCTCATACTTAATGAGCATCTCACAGTAGGCCTCCATGAACTGGTCCAGGGCTGGATCTTCCCCTATAGAACCACTTCCTGTCCTTCCTGATGATGCATTGATTGATTCACATTTGGCACATGACTCCTCTAAGCTAGCCACCACTTCAGGAGGTGCTCCAACCTGTAAGCACTCCACTCATGCCATCAAAACAAGCAACACACGAAAACAAAAAAGAAAAAAGAATCTCGAAATGAAAAACCAT